ATCTTATCAAACAATCAAATCACAATGATAACTTTATCACTGTCCTTTTGCAAAACTATTTTTATTTCTGGATAATGTTAGAGTTATTTCGAATTCCAATTAATTCAATCAACCATTTCTTCTTTTCTCTTTAAATGAAAAAAAAAAAAGCATCCATCATAATGAGGTCATTATTTCAATTCATCTTTGTACTTATCAAACATTCAGTATTTACTTCATAAATTTCATTTTCGAACTTTCCTTTCGAAAGCAATTATCAGATTAGCCTACATTTCGCTCATTTTTTTTCTCACATTTGTTCATCTTTAATTGCCATTAATGTCTCTCCCTTCCCATCCTTTGTCCCCTGTTCCCTGTCCCCTGTCCCCCGTTTCCCGCTCTTTCGCCACGTACATTTAAACTGTAGAAATCTTACAAAAATTGATTCTGTCAAATTTCTAAGTTTTCTTCTATAAATTTCGAAATATTTTTTCTGATTATGTGAAAATTACAAATTTACTGTACTTATCTAATTTCTGAATGAAAAACAAGAAATGAAATTTGCCCGAATAACTTTTAATTGGTTTAAATGTGGGAAGAGAAGTGATTTAAGGTAATTTAGAACAGTGTAAGGGTTGAATTAAAATAAAACATGAATTGATATTAGTAATCAAATTTACAATGACAAACCTGGTGGACTGAAAAAAAAAGAAAAATCTTGGCAAAAGATCTTTAGCAAAAGCTTCTTTTAGAAGTTTCGAACATTATGAATAAAATTGACAAATCATCCACAACTTTGTTACAATTTAAAAAATTATTTAACAATTTTTTTCCCATTAAACTGAACGAAATTTGAAAGTGAAGTTATTTTTGCTAATTTCAATAATTTAAAATTGGATGATTATGGATGACTTTTTACCTGTCCTCTTTTAACAAATTTATAAAATAAATGTGAGAATTTTTTTTTTTTGGGACGAAAACTTTTCGCCGCCTATTTTCTCACTTCATTTTGTAATTGTATTAAAGTTGAATGTTGGTAATTAAACCTTTACGGTATATGCTGACTAAAAGCAAAGCTTCTTTTCATGCAATATAGTCATTTGAAATCGGAAATTAAAAATGATGGGACATCATAGAGAAAGCGAATCATAACCTTGAAACGACGCTGTCTCCATATGCTGTCTCCATCTTTAAACACCTCAAATAAATGCCTCTTTTTTTTTCTTTAAAGAGAAAGTTCTTAGCATTCAGTAGGATTCTTCTGCACTTCCGGTTATAGTTTGAGCAGAAAATTTGAGAAATTACTGCTTTTTTTTTTAGATATACATGAGATTTGAAAAACAAAACATTATGAACTTATGCTAGATCACTTTCAAATTTTGAAAAGATTTTTTTTTTTTTAAATCAATATTAAACTTCATGATCTGGACCATGAAGTAGTATAAATTAAATTTAGGTATGCTTAATTACTTGGATCAGATGGGTTGAATGATTGGAACTTAATTTCACTTATTTCTTTTGCATTTGATTGATAATTCATTTCTATGACATTTTTTTCACATTTTTCATTTTACAATAATAAATTTGTCGTCATACCCTATGACGACGAATTTATTATTGTAATGTTTAATTTGAATTTGATAATTTTTAATCTTTTTAGGTTTACATTATCTTTCATTCTATTTATTTTCTCCCAAGACAACACTATAAATCATTCCTTTCTCAAATTATTTTTTGCCACAAAAATTTCTAACTGATGTATGTAATTTCAACGGATTAAATAATTTTTTAAATAATTAATTAGCTTAAATCTCTAACTGAAATGATGATTTACGAGTAATCTTTAATATCAACTTACCTACAAAGAAAAATTCATTGAAAATTTACATCATATTAGTTTGAAATATAGCAAATCATATGAGAATTGGTAATATTTAGAAATCATTTTGACTTATGTCCTTGAATCATTTCAAAATTCACTTTCCTGTGAGGATGAAATTAATTTAAGTGAGAAAAAAAATTGGAGCAAATTTGAATATATCAAAAAAATATTCTTTGATATTTACAAAAAATACGGCGATATCAGCAGGTGTTCGATCTTTTCACAAAAAAATCACATGAAAGAAGTTATAAAAAGCAGCTAATTGATTTCCACCACAGGGAGCCTAAGCTATAATCATTGACCACTCTTCCTTTTCCCAATATCAGTCATATTTCTTACTTAAATGTTTGAATGAAAAAGAAAAAAAATATTTGAATTTCATTTGTTAAAATTTACATTTAATTTGTTCACTTTCCTCTATTTCACAAAAGTATAGCATAAATTTGCGGTATTTTCCACGTGAAATATTTGTGATATATTTAGAGTAGAATAATTGAAAGGTAAATTTTAATTAAAAAGTAAATTTTATGATTTAATCAAACAATATTTGAATGAAACTTAAAAATCGGTCATCATTTCCCTTCTCTCTCTCTCCTGCTCTTT